TTATCAATCTGTAATAAAAGACGTGAGGAAATTCTGCCTTTTTTAAAGACAAAAATTTTTGAGGCGAAATACCCAAAAAGAAGTTTGTAAAAAATGAATCCGCCTCAACAATATAGAACTTATCTAGAACTTATCTATATGTATGAGCTTATCAGTGTCGTCTACTATTTCCTGTATGGACGTAATTCTACTAAGTTTTGAATCTTGAATGAATTATTTTTTTGTTTTCATTGCGATTTTCTACTTTGGTGGCAGTTCGACAACATGGCTGACCAGTATGTAATTTTCGACTGCGGGTACCGTGCGTACGGGCATGTGCGCGTGCCACAGCAGACTCTTTTGTAAAGGATTACCGAACATTTTAGTCTTGTTTTAATTCTTCGTCTTACTTGTCTTCATCTATGATTTCAGTGCGTGCATAAATTCAGTTGACAAGAGTTTTGAGAGGCTAGCATGATTCAGTCAGGAAAAAATGTCCAACCACTTGCCCGGTACGGTCGCTCCACCCAGTTCTTCCGTTCCGAAGCAACAGATTGGATGCAGCGCTAAACGCTCTTCTTCGAACCGGCAGAGAGTTAATTCAATGGCAAAAGCATCAACTTTCAAAATTCAGTGGCGTACGGTGGAATTTGAAAAAAGGAAATCAATTTATAAGAATTCAGCTATTTATAATGCAATACGTTCTAGAAACCGGGATGTTGCAACATTTCCCTAACTTTTGCTAGTTTCGGGATTATTTCCTGTTGATCAACAGTGCATTAACGGTGTTGGCGGCGATGTTGACCACCAAACGGGAAAAAGACTACCTTTTGGCCAATTAATAATTTGACTCACAGCTCGAACATAAGCGAGAAACATTAGGTTGCGACAACGCTCAAAGTTAGAAAACCAATTGAACTTACCATTAAAAGAGGCTCGTCCAGGGGCTCGTACTTGATATGATCGGCCAGGAATCGGGAACAGTCAGACCAAGTGTACATTTCCGCATGAGGCAGTATAGTGGGCCGAAGGGTGGTGCAAACCATTTTCTGCGAAAAAAAACAAACTCAGGAAGAAGGGCCTGAACAGCAAACGTTCAAAAGTTAAAAATTTAACCGGCCCCAGTTTACGCGCCGTCATTTTTTGAAATACAGAGCGGTATTTTTGAACCATATTTCTAACTAACAGTTGCAGATGGTGATTACATATTGAAAGAAAATCAACTAGTGATGGAAACTCTCTTCTTCTTCTTCCAAACTAACCCAAGGGGCAATTTGGAATTTTCGCGATCTTTAGCATACCTACACTTGATTAGATGCTGAAAGTTTCGTAAAAGTCAACTCAAATCCTGATTTTTACCAGCTCGTACATACCGGTCGTAACTATCGGTGCTTTAAATCGTACGTAAATAGCAAATCGCATTTTTCATGTTCCATGAAAATCGCCCAGAATCCTGATTTTTGTCAGCTTGGTACAATACAGTCTTTAGATCATACCTCACTCGAAAGACCCTCAAGGATTCATAAAAATCGCCGAAAATCTTGATTTTTGCTTGCTCGGTAAATATCGGTCTAATAGTGCGATTCAACCGCATTCTCATACAAATGAAATTTGTACAATTCTTAGAAGACCCCTGAGTCGAAAAACTCTGGTGGTTTAATAGAAATAGCCCACAATCGTGATTTATGACCGCAATATAAACCATACCGGAAGATCAGGATCTCATGGTTCTTAAGGAGTACATTTTCGAATATGCGAAAATGGTGGGTAAAACCCAAACTTGGGTTTTACGGTTTTATTGAGTTTTTCTCACYATTTTTATCTTGCACAAAGCACGAACAATGCGATGTTCCGAAACCTTAGATAATCTTGATGTCAACMASCACTGCAATCATGGTTAGGTAGATTGACCCTTTAGAACGGTCGCTGGTGGTATATTTCTTCTTACATCTATAGGAAAGTCCAACATTTGGCGGTCTACATATAAATTTAACCAAACTTTTCTTAATAAAATTGTCCATTTCAATAATACCTACAAAGCGGTAAAGTAAAAAGCTCCTATTTCCATTTCAAATTTATTTGATAATTTCTGCAATATTAGTTGAATTCTCAAGCAAGTTGCAATTGCGGCTTTTGGTGATTTGGAAAATTCGATTTCTTTAACTTAAATTTAAAAAAATTACTTTGGTGCTAATTAAAAAATTCAAGTGTGCACCAGTTACCTACCTCAATACATAATCTTAATCCTTTATTATCCTTATACCATTACTGTTCTAGCTTATAAGAAAAACGTAAATCTTGAAAACGATGTACATCATTTTATGGCTGAAGTAATTAATTGGTTTCCAAAAAATAAATTAATACTCAATAATGCTAAGACAAATGTTAACCTTTTCAAAACAGCACATTCCAGAATAGAGGAACCAAACAGTATATAAATAAATAAGCACAAGGTAAGACTTCGCATAAAATAGTAAATAGTAAAATCCGCACTTAGATCACACAAAATACTGATTTTGCCACGTTAGAGTTAAAGCGAGTTGCAATTTGAAATTTTCACAGTCTTTAGATAAGATGCTGAAAGTTTAGTCAATCACCCAAAATTCTGATTTGTTCCCGGCTTGGTAAATATCAGTCTCACTATGAATCTTTTACCCAATTACGCTCTTTCCTTGAAAAGTCGCATAATTCAAACGAAAGCAAGCAGCAATGTGAAATTTTCACCATCTTTCACACACGCAACTGCATTCTCTCCTTAAAAAAATAAAATCTTACAAACTAGTATAAGTAGTAATTTGAAAATTTTACGAGTTTTATAAGACTCGAACAATTTGAAAAATGTGAAAAATTTGATCAAAATCACCCGAAATCTTGATTTTTAATCTCGGTAAATATCGGTCTAATAATGAGTCTCAACTAGACTGCGTTCTCTCCTTAAAAAATTCAGATCATCCAAACTGGAGCAAGTAGAAATTTTAAATTGCGACAATATTTAGAAAGCACTTCAGTCGAAAGACCTGGGAAGTTTTATTCAAATCACACGACATGCTGATTTTTGCCAGCTCTGTAAATATCGGATTAAGAATGGGAGTGACAACTCAACTGCGTTCCCTCACCAAAAAAATCCAGTTTTTCAAACTGTCGCAAGTACAAATTTAAAATTTTGAGAATCTTTAGAAGACACTCAACTCGAAAGAGAGAAATACGTTTCATGAAAGTTGGTCTAAAATCTTGATTTTTTCCAATTTGGTAAGAATCGGGTCTAATAATGGCTGTTTCGACTCGACTGCGTTCTCTCCTTAAAAAATTCAGAATTTCCAAATTAGAACAAGTAGAAATTTGATAATTTGATATTCTTTAGAAGACATTTGACTCGAAAGACATGGAAAGCTTCCTAAAAATCGGCCAAAATCCTGATTTTTCTAGCTCGGTAAAAATAGGCTTAATATTGGGAGTTGCAAAAATTCGGATTTTCCAAACTGGCGCAAGTAGAAATTTGAAATTTTAACAATCTATAGAAGACCCTTGACTCGAAAGACTCTAGAATTTTCCTAAAAGTCGCCCGCAATCATGAATTTTTCCAATTTGGTAAGTACCTGTCGGATCCAATAATGGAAGTTTCGACTCGATCACGCTCTCTCCTTAAAACGTTCGGATCTTACAAACTAGCTAAAGTGTCAATTTCAAATTCCTGTAATCGTTAGAAAGCACTTGACTCGAAAGACTTGGAAAGTTTCATCAAAATCGCCCAAAATCCTGATTTTTGCCAACTCGGTAAATATCGGTCTAATAATGGAAGTTTCGACTTGAATGTGTTCTCTCCTTAAAATATTCGGATCATCCAAACTAACACAAGTAGATATTTGAAGTTTTTACAATCTTTAGGAGACACTTGCCACAAAGTCACAGTTTCATAAGTTTCATGAAAGTCGCCCGAAATCTTGATTTTTTCCAATTTTGTAAGTAATGGCTCTTCGGCCCGGCTGCGTTCTCTTCTTAAAAATTCCAAGTCTTCCAATCTAGCGCAAGTAGAAAGTTGAAATTCCTACAATCGTTAGAAAGCATTTGACTCGAAATCCTTGGCAAGGTTAATAAAAATCGTCAAAAATTCTGATTTTTGCCAGCTCGGTAAAAATGGGCTTCATACCTATTGGGAGTTGCGACTCAACTGCCTTTCCCCCCAATAAAATTCAGATTTTCCACACCATCGCAAGTAGAAATTTGAAATTTTTACAATCTTTAGAAGACTCTTGACTCGAAAGAATCTATGAGTTTCCTGAAAGGCGCCCAAAATCTTGGTTTTTGCCAATTTGGTAAGTATCGGGTCAAAATATCTGGTCAAATAAAGGCAGTTTCGAATCGATCTTAATCGAATCCTTAAACATTTTGCAATTTCCACGATTTTTATAAGACACTTGACTCAAAATACTTGGCAAATAAAATTTCTAAAGAAATCACTTTAACCTGAGAACAACTTGATTAAAGAATTACTGAGGTCCTTGCAGAAATAAGACCACGCTTACACAATCAGGAAAGATTTAAAATCCGTGCAAAAAACAAACACTCTGCTTTTTTCCACTCATCTGCAAGTTATGGGAATTAAATGAAGAAACTCCCAAGAACAATCAATTTTTAGTGCCAGATTAGTCAACGAGCGAAACAGAAATAAAAAACTTCCACAAATGGAACGAATCAATCTCAGACAGAAACGCTTGCTGAAATTTGTCCGAGAATCCTGCAGTTCCCTGCTGGAAGCCTCGGGGGATTATCGATACAAAGTAATCGGTCGAACGGGGGACCGTCAACATAATCAGAATATGGAACAGGTAGTACGAGGGGATTTGCGGTCCAGATCATGTTCTAATTAAGCCGAAGGCGATGGCCCAACTGTGTCCAGTCCAATAAGCAGGACCGGGAACGGGGAAACCGATCAGCAAGAATCTCATATAAACACCGCGATTATGCATATCTTCCAGTAGAGGCAGGGTTTTGAGATCCAAGCTATAAAAGGGCTGCTGGCTTCTACTCACTTGTAATCCGCACTCATTATCGCAGGCCAGAAACAGCGGCTTCCGATTGGGAAATTTGCAGCAAAACTGCCTGCGAAAGTTCTCCGCATACAACAGCAGCAGCTTCTCCTTGCGGGAGTTCTTCAGGTAGCTGTCCGGAAAATTCGTTCTGTCCTCGAACGTCACGTCAATCAACTCCGGCCAGCACAGTTTGATCAATCCCAACTCCTGGGCGATCACTTTCAAGTAGTCAGCCGTGATATCCATCGGTTCCTGCAACTCCCTCGGCTTATCCAGCATTTCGATGTAGGAAAAGGGTTTGGGTTCAGGCTCGATTGCGACTTCTTCGGATGATTCTGGCGCCAGCTCGGCACCATCCGGCACGGTGTTTTCATCTTCAAAGTCTAGATGCACAGTATTTTCACTCGGTTCGTCCATTTCTTCTCCTTGAGGAGAAGAAGTTGTCATCGCGAAACCGCACTACTGACTTTGACAGCATAGCAACCATTGCTTGATCTATTGTTGCGGGGATAACAGCACTGTTTCTATGGAGATGACTTGAGGTTTAGGTGTTCCTACAGTGTTACAGAGATGTCGTTCCAATAACTTCGGTATATTGTAAAAATGTATGGCATTTGGCAGCTTATGAAGACAGTCAAAACGCAACTGAATTTTAAGTTCTCCCATTTTTTCCAACACAACCGTGAGATGGTTCTGGGCACAGAGTTAAATATATTAAAATTAAACTGAGTCACTGTCGGAAGTGATTTAATCTCAGCTTATTTGCAAGTACTGATTGAAGCCATGCACCCGTTTATAGAATGATACGATGGATGATACGAAAGTAGGTATTTCTATTGGTTGAAGATCTGTCAATTCGTCCTTAGTCGTAGGAACTGACAGATCTGATCCTCTCAGATCCCTGGACGCGGGGCGTCGCTAGATGGGGCGTTATGTTGTATCTGTCCGACTGAAGGCGAACACTGTGGTATACATAATAAGAACAAACATTTTTTATGAACAGTAAAAATCGCAAAAAAATGTAACTGATTTCGTGATAATGTATTTAATATTATTATCATAAGTTCGTCTTTATTGACCGGAAATATATAGGGTGATTCAAAATTTGCGTCACTGCTTTTAAGGGGTGATACAGGCTCCCTTGGGGAATACGAGAAAAATATAGAAAGATAAGATAAAAAAATAGAAGATATTAACAGTTGAAGATCGAATTTCAACTTCGATATTAAGCATTATTTTGAAATTGTTCCATATTGAATTGGTAGCATATTGAAATACTTAAGCATTCAAAAAGACAAATTACGATCTTTGCTTCAAATTACGAAAATTTTTTATATCAAAAAAGTTCTCTTCTACAAATTTTTGATAAAAAGACAGCGGCAATGATGTTTTTGTCATTAATAGATAGTTACAGCTGGTCCCATTACCCTTGTCAATAATAACAATAATTTGTCAAACTGTGACCTACTTTGAATTTCCTTTCACGAATTTGCGGATATGCGATTAGTTCAGGGGAAATGCTACAGTAATATAGCGGAAGCTAAAAGAACTCACGCCAACAAATGGCGAGGAGAGTGGTTCCAGGAAGATAGTGGATGACAATTGATGTTCAGGTTGCAGACACGGAGGAATAAGTATTGGACATAATCGAATCAGGGCCTTCCAGGGGCACTCAGAGCACAATAACTGACACTTTCCCAAGCACCAAATAAATACCGAGGAAGG